CAGTTCAATGGAATCCTTTTTTCATTCTGAGTAAGTTCGACCTACAAAGGTAACGGAGCAATCTTCTGTGTAAATTAAATAATGAAACATATCAAACAAATTAAATAAATTACTTACCGAATTTATTTAACCGAATTGAATAAATAATTAAAAGATAAAGCCGAGTGTATGACACTATGTCCTTAAGACAGATTCTCCCCCCTACGGTGCTTACGGATAAATGGCGTCTATCTCTCAGGATACAATGATCTTCACAAATTGTAGTAGCAGTCCAAACAATTTATACGGCGAACAAAACCTGTGTTCTATACTCTCTGAATTTTTTTCTCTAAAACTAGTATGAAGAATAATAATGCAAGAGAGCAAAATGAAGGCAAGAAAAATAATTTTCAGAATAGAAAATCTGTTGGAATGCCTTGGTATAAATAGACCCGAACAGGTCTGAAAAAAAAATTTAAACAAGTGGGTTTTTTGAATGAACAGGTGCAATAGATAACTGCTTGGCAGTTTCTATCTGTTGGAAAACTGCTGGCAGATTTGAATTTGTCTGGCAGTTTTGAATCTGTCCGGGTGAAAAACTATTCAGATCGATTGAACTGTTGAGAATTTGGATTTGAAAATAGGTACACATTATGAACAAAAAGTTTTGAATTCAAATTCAATTTACATAGCGCAAAATTTAAATTATTTTTTTCAGCAAGAATTTTTGGAAAAAATTCAAATAAATTTTGTTTAAAAAATTAATATAAGAACCAACCCGACCCACATATGCGCCCTGCTCGACTGGCCGGTGGAATGGACGGCGGTGGTAGCGCGAGCGCGTGTGTGGTGGTTTTAGCTAAGGTTCCATTTGTCCATAACTCCTCCCTTCTACAAACTTGGGGTGCCCCTTGGGGCCCAACCCAAGTGTTGCCACCTAAAACTTATATGCACACATAAATTCTCTTAAGTTTCCAATGTGGGACAAGTCTTACAAAGAAACCCACATTTTAATTCTTTAAAAGTTCATTCCACGAACCTGAAAACGACGTCAAGTTCTCATTCATTCATAAATGGTTTTGACGAACCATCTTCACCGTGTGACTTGCCATGCGGCAAGGAACACGTCACCTCTTCAGACCCACCTCAAAAGACGTGTGGATCCCACTCAATTTTGGACTCAAAGTTGGCCCAAAATAAGCCTATAAAAACCAAAATTTTCAACAATCCCCCACATGAATGGAATTTGATGTAGAGAAAATGCAACAACATGATCTAATTACAGGAAGTACAGAAATTAAAAATATTCTGCAAATGATAGGTTGCTTTTGGCTTTAAACCTTCCCTTGTGAGACACTATCGGATTTACTAGCTAACCAATGAACATGATGCCTTGAACTGTTCAGCCGTTTGTGTAAACCAAGACAATAGAACTCATACAGTATATTACCAGACACAGTTTAGTTCTCACTATTGTGTTCATTTTTGCTCTGAACAACCTGGTCTTTCATAAGTGCTCTAGAGAATTGTAGCCCTTCACAAATCTCATAGAATCGGTCCAGTTCACACTCGCATAGATGATTCTTATGAAAAGTATCTTGCCATACTCCACTAGGTTTACCTAGATATAAGAATCATTAAAATTTTACTTAACCTAAAACGCTACAAACATCACTATTTCATCCTAGAAATGGGTAGGAGTTTGACTTCCTAGTGATCCTTCTGAGTTATACACAATTCGGTTGTCCCTTTAAACCTAGATCTTAGGATCTCTAGTCAACTAGGTTGGGTTGCCGGTGTGGTAACTCTTATTTAATAAACTTAAGTCCCATTACCTTCGATGAATTCTCAACTAATTCTCTTGCTAACTCTTTGGTTAGCGGATTCGCGATGTTGTCTTTAGACTTTACATATTCAACGGAAATAATTCCATTAGAGAGTAGTTGTCTAGCAGTGTTATGTCGACGACAAATGTGTCATGACTTACCGTTATATATATGACTCTGTGCTCTATCTATTGTTGATTGACTATCACAATGTATGCATATAGCAGGCACCGATTTTGGCCAGATTGGAATATCTTCAAGGAAGTGGCGAAGCCATTCTACTTCTTCCCCAACTTTATCTAAAGCTAAGAATTCTGATTTCATAGTAGACTTAGCAATGCAAGTTCGTTTAGAAGATCTCCAAGATACAGCCACCCCACCAACAGTAAAGACGTACCCATTGGTGGACTTTGAGTCTCTAGTATCCAATATCCAGTTTGCATCATAGTATCCTTCAAGTACTGCTGGATATCTAGTATAATTTAACCAAATATTACGAGTAAATCAGAGATATCTTAAAATCTTTATAATAGCTTAGTGTTCTACTTTCGGATTACTCGTATATCTACTTAATTTACTTACTGCATAAGCTATATCTGGGCGAGTACAGTTCATCAAGTACATTAAGCTTCCAATAATTTGGGCATATTCTAATTGAGAAATACTTTCCTGTACATTCTTAGAAAGAAACAAATTAACATCCACAGGTGTTCTAGCAAGATGATCATCATCTCTGCTGAATTTGTCAAGTATTTTCTCAATGTAATGAAATTGTGACAAAGCATAACCTTCTGATGTTTTTGTAATTTTCATACCAAGAATTACATCAGTAATGCCCATGTCCTTCATGTCAAAATGTTTATTCAACATTTTCTTGGTAGTTTTAATCATGTCATTATTACTACCTATGATGAGCATATCATTCATATAAAGACATACAATCACATAACATTTGCTTGTGTTTTTAATGTAAACACATTTGTCACACTTATTAATTTTAAATCCATTTGACATCATTGCCTTGTCAAATTTCTCATGCCATTGCTTTGGCACTTGTTTTAAACCATATAATGATTTAACCAATTTACACACTTTCTTTTTTTTTCCTAGAACAGAAAATGCTTCTGGTTGTTCCATATAAATTTCTTCTTCTAACTCACTATTTAAGAAATCGATTTTCACATCTATTTGATGAATTTCTAGATTGTACAAAGATGCGATGGCAATTAGCATTCAAATGGATGTTATTCTAGTAACTGGTGAGTATGTGTCAAAGTAATCAAGACCTTCTTTTCATCTAAAACCTTTTACCACAAGTCTTGTCTTATATTTGTCAATTGATCCATCCGGTTTCATTTTTCTTTTGAAAATCCACTTGTACCCAGGAGGTTTATAGCCCAGTGGTAAATCCACCAATTCCCAAGTGTGATTTTGCATGTTAGATTCTATTTCACTATTTACAGCTTCTTTCCATAAAGGAGCTTTAGGACTGGACATAGCCTCTTTAAAAGTTAAAGGCTCATTTTCTAACAAAAATGTTAGGAAATCTGGACCAAAAGATTTTAAGGTTCTAGCACGTTTACTACGCCTAGGTTCCTCTTCTTCATTTTGATCTATCTCTTGCTTTTGTTTTTGATCATGACTAGTAATAACATCATAAGATCTTTTATTATTACCAGTCTCTTGTCCAGTCTTATTTAGAAATATATGTTCAAAGAACGATGCATTCCGAGATTCAATAATAGCACTTACATGCATTTCAGAATGTTCTGATTTATGAATCAAAAATCGATATGCACTACTATTCTTGGCATAACCAATGAAATGTAATCAACGGTTTTAAGACCTATTTTAGTCTTTTTAGGACTAGGAATAGCCCCTTTAGCCAAACACCTCCACACTTTTAAGTATTGTAGGATGACACTCTCTCATGCCACAATTCATAAGATGTTTGATTCACTTTTTTGCGGGGTACTTTATTTAAAATATATTTACCAGAAAGTATTGTTTTTCCCCTACAAATTCTGAGGTAATTCATAACTTATTAACACAGCATTCATCATTTTTTTTAAAGTCCTATTTTTCCTTTAAGCAATTCCATTTTGCTAAGGTAAGTAAGGAGGTTTGATGAATTATTTCATGTTCTTTACAAAACTCACCAAAAGGTGTTTCATATTCACCATCTTTATCACTTCTAAGTTTCTTAATTTTCTTACCAAGTTGACTTTCAACTTCATTCTTGAATTGAATGAAAGTTTTCAAAATTTCATTCTTAGTTCGAATTAAATAAATATAACTATATCTAGCATAGTCATTTATAAAAGTGATAAAATATTTTTTTCCACCTCTAGTTTGAATTGATTTAAAATCACAAATGTCACTATGAATTAATTCAAGTGATTCCGTACTTCTTTTAATTGAATGAAAATCAGTTTTGTATAATTTTGCCTCAACGCAAATTTCACATTTATGATTTGAATCAATGTCAAATTTAGGTAAACATTCCATATTAATTATTCTACGCAAAATTCCATAATTAATATGTCCAAGTCTACCATGTCATAAATTTGAAGACTCAAGCAAGTAAGAAGAAGATGTATTTTTATTAATAACAAAGTGTACCACAGTCATTACATTCATTTTGAAAAAGCCATCAAACACGTAACATTTGCCTACATACATCCCGTTTTTGGTAAGTACAAACTTGTCACTTTCAAAAACTATCCTAAACCCATTTTTACTAAACAAAGATCCGAAAACAAGGTTCTTACAAATGTTTGATACATGTAGCACATTGTTGAGAGTGAGTTCCTTTACAGATATCATCTTCAGAATAAGCTTTCTTTGTCCTTCAACTTTAGAAGTCGAGGAGTTATCCATAAAAATTTATTCACCGTTGTCCACTATAGAATAAGATGTGAACATCTTTTTGTCGGCACAGATATGATGAATAACACCATTGTCCACCCACCATTCTTTAGGATTTCCGACAAGGTTTGCCTCGGAAACAACTGCAGAAAGATTTATGTCATCAACACCATTGAAAATTTTGTCTACTTCGGTCATATTGGTTTGAGCAAGTTTCTTGCTTGTTCTTCTTTTGTTTTTGTTTTTGCCTTTGCTACGGCAATCTTTGGCCCGATGTCCCTCTTTGTCACAAATGTAACACTTGCCATTAAACTTGTACATTTTAGTTTCCCCCCCTCCCTTTAGAGCCTTGTGATGAACTTTCTCCAGAAAACTTCTGTTTCTTTGTTTTTGGAGCATGTTCCACCACATTTGCCTTAGACTCCATTGGACGCTTGCCAGCCCGCTTTTTAGAATTGCAGTTGTCCTCTTCAATCCTCAAACACACAATCAATTCTTCTAAAGACATTTCTTTGTGCTTGTGTTTGAGGTAGTTCTTGAATTCCTTCCAGCCTTGTGATAATTTCTTAATTAAGGCTGCAACTTGGAAGGATTCACTGAGAGACATGCCTTCTGTGTGAATGTCATACAGAATGAGTTAGAGATCTTGAACTTAGCTGATCACAGCCTTAGAATCAACCATCACAAAGTCCAGGAATTTGCTAATTATAAATTTCTTTGAGCCAGCATCTTCTATTTTGTACTTTTTTTCCAAAGACTCCCAAAGTTTCTTTACTGTCTTGATAGGACTGAAGATGTTGTATAATGTGTTGTCAAGTCCATTCAAGATGTAGTTTCAGCAAACGAAATCAGCATGTTTCCAGGCATCGACCGTAACAACCACTTGCCGGTCAGTTTCATCCTCTTTCAAAATAGGAACATCCTCACGGAGAAAACGAGCCAGGTTGAGAGTAGTAAGATAGAGCAAAATTTTCTGTTGCCATATTTTAAAATCAATTCTTGAGAACTTCTCTAGCTTCTCACTGTGATTGACTGGCACAGTCACTACAGAAGGGGTTGGAGCAATTGCAGCTACCACACTAATACTTGTTTGAGCATTAGCTTGACCAGTTTCAGTAGTCATGAATTCTAAATTATAAAACAGAATTATAATTAGAATTTTATACTACACAAAAAATTAAACCATAACTACATAATTGAATTCTGTAAAATAAAAGAAACAAGAATTGTAACTTTTATTTTTTATTTTCAATTAATTTGAAAATAAAATAAAATTTTATTTAACCAAATTAATTTCACACAGAAAATTAAATTTCTGTAACACTTCAATAATTAAAATATTGAAACAGAATTTTAATTAATGAACACTCAAAAATTATTTCTGAAAATCAAAATTAATTTTTGACAAACTTCACAAATAAATATTCTGAATTGTTAATGACACTAGTATATTACTACTAGTTGTCAAAAAAAATACACAGTATATTACTACTATCTGTGAAACAGTATATTACTACTATTTATTTTTCCAACCAGAATATTATTTTGTAAAACCACAGAAAATAATTTCTGTAAAAAGAAGAAAGAGAAAAGAAAACAAACGAAAAATTCTGTATAAACAGAATAATTCGAATCTGTCTTAAGATTGATGGAACAAACTTCTGTGTAAATTAAATAATGAAACATATCAAACAAATTAAATAAATTACTTACCGAATTTATTTAACCGAATCGAATAAATAATTAAAAGATAAAGTCGAGCGTATGACACACTGTCCTTAAGACATATTCTCCCCGCAACGGTGCTTATGGATAAATGGTGTCTATCTCCCAAGATACAATGATCTTCACAAATTGTAGTAGCAGTCCAAACAATTTGTACGACGAACAAAACCTGTGTTCTATACTCTCTGAATTTTTTTCTCTAAAACTAGTATGAAGAATAATAATGCAAGAGCGCAAAATGAAGGCAAGAAAAACAATTTTTCGGAATGGAAAATCTGCTGAAATGCCTTGGTATAAAAAGACCTGAACAGGTCTAAAAAACAAACTGAACAGGTGGGTTTTTTGAATGAACAGGTGCAACAACAGCTGGGTAGTTTCTATCTGTTAGAAAACTGTTGGCAGATTTGAATAAGTCTGGTAGTTTTGAATCTGTCCGGGTGAAAAACTGTTCGGACTGATTGAACTGTTGAGAATTCGGATCTAAAAAAAGGCACACATTATGGACAAAAAGTTTCGAATTTAAATTCAATTTATATTAGCGCCAAATTTAAATTAATTTTTCCCGCAAGAATTTTTGGAAAAAATTCAAATAAATTTTGTCTAAAAAATTAATATAAGAATTGACCTGACCTACAACCCACACCCGACTTGGCCGGCTGATGGAACAAACGGCGGCGGCGACGCACGCGCGTGTGTGATGGTTTGAGCCAAGGTTCCATTTGTCCATAACTCCTCCCTTCTACAAACTTAGGGTGCCCCTTGGTGCCCAACCCAAGTGTTGCCACCTAGAACTTATATACACACATAAGTTCTCTTAAGCTTCCAATGTGGAACAAACCTTACAAGGAAACCCACATTTTAATTCTTTAAAAGTCCATTCCACGAACCCAAAAATGACGTCAAGTTCCCATTCACTCATAAATGGTTTTGACGAACCGTCTTTACCGTGTGACTTGCCATGTGGCAAGGAACACATCACCTTTTCATACCCACCTCAAAAGATGTGTGGACCCCACTCAATTTTGGGTTTAAAGTTGGCCCAAAATAAGCCTACAAAAACTAAATTTTCCAACAAAAGGGACAAAACAAATATAGTGTAAGCCTCAAAGTACACTCAGAGACACATAAATACAAATACAGAGACATCTTATCAAGCCAAAATAATAATAAAAAATACAGATACAAATACAAATACATATTTCCTACTCTTATAGAAAAGCCAACTAGCCCCACACATATAACATAAACAGCTATAATTAAACCAAACCTAGCCTTAAGTCTCATCAAATGGGGTCAGCCACAAGAAGATGCTACAACTATTAGAGAAAAACTTGTAGTACAACAACACTATAATAAAGGCATGGCAGAGGAAGTAAAATCAATAGTCTTTATGACCACAGTCAATTACAAATCTGTTCCTCTCAATATGTAGAAGGCATCCGATTGCCAATGAAAAATATAACGCACAAGCAGCTAGACTGAATTTAATGACATTATCACAGCTCGTGAGGGACATTTGAATGAGAAAAAAAAAAGGATAATAAAACTTAAAACAACTCAATAGATTAACAATGCTTCTTATTCCAAACTATCTTTTATCTTAGATTAATCACAAACAAGTATCACCAGGACAAGAAAGGAATCAATGTAATACATAATAAAATGTAGAGTAGGGATAGCACAAAATCAACTCTAAATCAACATCCATATTTTATGAACTTTTGTGCTTAAAAGAAGGCTTTCAAAGTTTTCTTTGAATGATTGCTTTGGTCTAGTGCGTGCAAAGATAGTGAAGCTAGAATCTACAAGTTAGATTCATCTTTTAATATTGTCATCCATGGTTCAACTGAAAATCTTTGCTAGCAAAAAACAATTAAATATGATTCTCACAGTGGTTGAAAATGGAGAAAATTTGAGTGTGGGACAAAGGCGTTTTTGAGTCCAAAAAAATTCCTAAGTCTCTGTCATAGTGGTCTTCTAATTTTAGGCAACTTTCACCGCAAGTCAATTTAGTGGCTTCCTTCTTTGTCTTCTTATTTTATGATAGCACATTATATCAGTAGTCTTTCATCAGCTAAAACTGAATGTGCTCTTTATAGGTAAAAGGGCATTTATTTAAGTTTAATTATTTTAAATTTTTTGTCAATTAACTTAAATGAATGTATATAGGTCCTAGTCTCAAAACAAGTTGGAAGGAAATTGAATTGCATTTTCAAGTCATTAAGCTCTCTTTTTATACTTTTATTTTCTTCGCTTGTTATTTTCTTTGACTTGCTTTCTTGGAGATAATGGTTTGTTGGCTAATGTAGTGATATTGGCTAGGGATTTATCAACGTGATCATATCATTTTATTAATGTTAGAATTTCCCATCTTTACCTTCACCTACTCCACTACACACTCCACTTCACCTACCTCCACTTCACCACACACTCCACTTCACCTAACCCACTATCACCTCCACTACACCTACTACCACATTTTCTTCTATATATAGATTGTATAGGAATTGTAATTAATTGATCTTGTAATCAATCAACATATCAAGAACAATCAATAATATACATCATATTATTTAACAATTAATGTTCAAGCCACAAAGTGAATATATTCTATGAATCTTCTAAGTAGTAGATAAAGAGTACAAAAGTAATAGCTTCAGCTAAAGATGTTACACAAAATAGGGATTGAGTCTAAAATCACAGACCATTGAACAAGGCATGCAAGCACATTGGGTCAAATAGAGGAATAATATGGATAAAAAAAATAAAGACTAACTGAAATCCAACACAATTAAGGTCAATACCGAATGAGGACCCAAATGACATACACAAATTCAACACAATTCTAGGCTTTGTCATGTGTTGTGACCTACACAAATTCAACACCAGCATGGAACAGTAAACATGACAGAGCATTTTACCAATAGGAGACATAATTGCAAGTCCCAGGTTTACAAAAAAAATGGAACACACACACAAACACACATTAGGTATAAGAAAAATAGAGACAAAACTTCAAGAAAAGAATTTTATTTATGTATCCCCTTATCTCTATCTTCAATAACAGAACCCAGTTTGTAAATATGCCAATTTCCTTAGCTTCAACATATACTGTAAAGCAATCTTTTTTAATTATGGGATTTTATTAGTTTAGTTATCCTATATATTAGATTGAGAGAGCTTACATATTTCCAACCAAGAATTTGTCAACTGCAGGAGCAAAATATATCTAACAGTGTATGAATTTAGAGCCAAAATCAAACCAATTCTTAATTCCTTTAATTTTTGTTTTTAAACCTAGCTCAATTTCTTCGTCCTCTTTCTAATTTACCTATACGACATGCAAATTAAACCTGATTTCTTTCCAATTACATGAAATTGAGCCTAATCATTTCTTGATTTTAATTATTCGATAATTAATCTACCAGAATCAAGCATGTAATCCTTACCTAGAGTTCTTGATTGATAATCTATTGATAATTTTCCCCTTCTCTTCTTTGTTGTTCTTCCTTTCTTTAACCTTAGCCTTTCCTCTAAGCTTTCCATCAAAATTTTCCCCTTATCTCTCTCTTTCTGTGTGTGTGTGTGTGTGTGTTCTCGCTTCCTTTATCTTTTTCTTTATTTCTCAAATGTTTTGAGTCAAAGGGATTTACATCACCTCTTGAGCTCCTAGCACACACACACACACCTATGCACTCCATGGTTGAAGGATATGCTCGAATTTTTTTTACTTTGTCAGTGAGGACACAAATAGATATACATCTACTTCAAGAGGGGGGAAAAGAATAAGAACAATTAAGACTCTTGGTTCATGCATAAACTACTATATTTTAGTTTATAAACATCATTTTACCCTTGAGATAATAATAAAAAATACTAAGAAATACGAAATAAAGTCATGTCCAAGTGTCCTTGACATGACAATTAGATAAATATGATGCTTACATCTTAAGGGTATGATCAAGAGTTAATAACTAAATTCATATATTATAATATTAGCAAGCTATGATAAGATATAGCAATATAATAGAAAATTCAAGGTCAATTGAGAAGATAATAGCATGTATAAAAAAAGAAATCAAGAATACCTAGTTCTACAATCGCATTCTCAATCATCTTAAATGATTCTGATCTCTTCTCCAATTTGAACTGCTCATCTGATGAATCTATAGTAACATCAATGTTGGTGGGGTATAACAACATAGAAGCCAATAATGCAACAAGCCAGAAGTCTTTGATTTTTCGAAAAAGCAAGCCTACACATACAGTAGGAGGAGATAAGACAGTGAACCTCAAAAACACCAGTCATTGAATTAGTTGACAAAGTGCTTACGATAAGTTAATTAATCAATTCAATGATAGTGTCATTTGAATAATTTAAAAAAAAAAAAAAAATCATCTCAATTGTTTTGCAGCATTAACAGGCCACACACTCAACCAAATGAGAGCAAAGTTGTTCATGCGAAACAACAAACTCTAAACACATTATAGTCATTGAGTTCCTATGCAATCTATAATCTATTACATTTATAACCTCCCAATTGATTTTTTTAATAGAAGTGCATCATAATAGTTCTGGTTCAAACTACCTCTTAAAGAGTTAACAACACCCATGTAGGCTAAGTCCTGAAGACTAAAATCTGCAACTAAAAATATGAAAATTTCCAGAACTTCAAAATTGGTGAAAATGTCACTTAGTAAACACTTGAACCTAAAAAATATGCATACGTATCCTGACCACCAACATCCCAAACTGTGAAGCTAATGTTCTTGTACTCCACTGTCTCAACGTTGAATCCTACAAGAAACAAGACTCTTTTAAAGTCACAATGAAGGATGAGAAAAAAATAATGGCCGCTTGGTTAACCAAATGTAACTGCTAAAAAAATTCATTTATAAGCAATGATGAACTAATTCCACTAAACAACCATGTTTACCAACTTCATTAAATGAATCTTTCGGTGTTACATAGATTTTTTACAACTAGAACCATTTAAGTATTTCACTGAAACTAGAAAATTATAACTAGTTTCATCAATTAGATCTTTTGCTATATAGATTCATGAATACCTAGAATCATCAAAACCTTGTCTATTTCCCTAGAAGTAAAGGATTACACAACACACTGTCTTCACATTATTTATCTAAAAACATCAAAATCCAACATGAAGCCAATCTTCAAATTCACTCCTCAGTCCTTACTGTTGCCAACATTGCTTTCTGTCATATATGCTCACATAATATTGTCTCACTATGTCTCATCTTGTCCACAATCACATTTGAACCAACATATTGAATACAAAGATTGACAATTTTAGTGTAACCAATAGATCTCTAATATCAAACATAACTAACAAAACTATATCAAAATTTAAATACTGAAGTTATACTTTATATTGCACTAGAACAGTAGCACTTAAGTATCAGTGTGACTATAATTTTAGTCTTTCAGACAAGTGTCAATCAGCATAATGTCTGATCAAATTTGTTAGTACTTCGTTATTCCTGTCTCCCATTTAATCAACATTCTATTGGTTTGAGAATTGGCAGTATGAAGTCTAATCTAAAGAGGTTGAAATCTCAAGATTGTAGTAAGAGATGCATTTAATGGCATATTGTCACGACCCAAACCCGTCCCTATGGGTTTAGCACCGTAACCGGCCAGTAATTCGAGATTACCGAAGGCCTGCTTAATAGTAAAACAGTAATATAGAGTACAGGGGCTGGCGGAAGTCAAAACAGTAATTAAAAGATGTCCAATGAGCTGTGACAGTCTGTATGCAAAAAGACTTTTTTAAAACATATTCACATTCAGAACAAAACAGTACTATACATACATATACAAACATTCAGGTTAGGGACCAAATCCCTACCATAACAGTATAGTACGAGTCTATACAGTCTATACAATACAAAGACAGAAAGGGAGAATCTAAAACATCCCGAAGCAGCCTTAGCTTGGTAGCACTTGGAACCTCAAGGTAAGGCACGATGGTTGGCTTGACAAAACAAGAGCTAATCCGACGCTCCTAGCTCCGGTCCGGTGCCTGAATACCTACATATATATATAAACAGTAAGCTAAAGCCCAGTGAATAACATATGCGTAAAGAGGTTAAGAATGAATGTCCTTCAGATTAGGAACCGTGACATTTTAAGAGTCCGAGCTGTAGAGACCCCAAATGAACAGAACGGGAGCTAAACCCTCCCGGGGCGTTCGGGGGACGTCTACAGGTACATCCAATAGCAAAACAGTACAGTAGGTCTTAACAGACCGAGCAGTCAATGATGGCTATCATATCAGTAAACAGTAGTGGTTCCAAACGTGGGAACCAACAGAGATCTCTGTAACAGTAGCCGTAACAGTTCAATAATAGTAAATTGCTATGGATGCCACGAATACAGTTCACAAATAGGATAGACATTCATTCAGTAAACAGTGTCATTTCATAAAGCAGTACAGTCATTTGTTCAGAAAATAATCTCAATTGAACATATCTTTACAACATTGTTACTCACAGAGCATTGGGCTATAAGCAGCTAGAGCGTCCTCGAATGCCAACCCTATACAGTTACAGAACGAACACACGCTAAACTACACAGTTAGGAAATAATAACTTAATCCCTAATTTGCCTCGGTGTAGTTCTACATCAATATCCTCGTTAAGATGCCTTAAACTAGGCCTAGGAGTGCCTAGGATGAAATGAGGATGCAAAGATGCACTTTAAACACTTTTCAGAATTTGCAGAAAGCAGGGGTCTCGCTCGAGCATGGCTTTCTACGCTCGAGCGGACATACAAACAAATGAGCTCCGCTCGAGCGGACTGTAAGCTACAGTAAAAGTACTGGATGCACAAAAATCACGCTCGATGGGCGCTCGATCCACGCTCGAGCGTGAGACGCAAGTCCTCGCTCGAGCGTGAACTCTCTCGCTCGAGCGGACTGTAAACACATGCAAAGTACTGGATACACGCATTTCACGCTCGAGCGCCACTTTCCTCGCTCGAGCGAACTGCATGAACACAAGGCGTACGCCTCGCTCGAGCGTGGAGTTCCTCGCTCAAGCGTGAGTCCAAAATCTGAGTGGAGAACCAAGGCAAATAGATCATTCACAACCAGTACAAGATACAAACAACCAAAACTCCATAATCACAAGAATCACAGTAATAACCTTACCAGAAAGCCTCTCCCGAGGGTTCTGCAGAGCTTCGCGAAGAAACTGATCTACCGAACTGATAACATCTTCAGAAACACCCCCAATTAGCTGAGAAGCAACAGCCGAAGACGAGGAAACTGAAGCTGAAGCATCGGCGAGCTCCTGAGAAGCAAAGTTGGAGGAAGAAGAAGAAGATGACGATGATGGCGGATTCGAAGAAGAAGAGAGCATCAATCTGCTGACGCTAGCCTCCAAGTCCGCCACTTCCCATGAATCAGGAGGGGCTCCGAGATCCTCCACAGACCCCTCCATGGCTTCTCTCGAGCGAGGAATTCTAGGGTTCTTCTATCGAAGAAACCATCAAATTGAGCTGGAATTCGAGATCGAATCAACCCTAGAACAGTACAATTTAGTCAATTTCATGAATGAATTCGATGGATTACGAGGAGAGAGAGAGAGAGAGAGGGAGCAGTGATCGACAATAGATTTTGACGACGAAGTGCGTTTGGGCTGGCTTTTTGTGGTGGTCACGTGAAGGTGCACTTCCAATTGGACATCTGGGAATCTAATGGAGGCATCGTCAGGGAAGATGATTTTTTTGGGCTGGGTTGGAAAGTGGATTGGGTTTTGATTTTTTAATTATTTTAGTTTGGAATTAAAAAGTTTTATTTAAGAGAGATTTTTTAATTTTAAATAAGAAAAAAAATATAATAATTATGAATTGAATGTAATATTATGGTCTCTTTTGGGAAAGGCTGAAAACGCTAGGTTGGTGTTTTGGAGCAAAACGCACAGTTGCGTTTTTCGGCTCATTTGGCAAGTAGAAAAAGTAGGTTAGCAAATTACATGCCTCCGTTTGGGAAGTGGGTTGGCTTTTTGGCTTTTTGGCTTTTTTGGCTATTTTAGCCTGGGTTAAAAAGTTTGGTTTGGGAAGGGCTTTTTGGCTTTTTGGCTTTTTTGGCTTTTTTTGTGAGAGAAGAATGTAATGATTATGGGTTGGATGTGATATTTTGTTTTTTGTGGCTAAAATAGCATATTTTGTTTTTTGTGGCTAAAATAGCCAAAAAAGCCCCGTTTAGCTCTTGCCAAACGGAGGCATAGTTACCCTCAATATTAACATCTTATGGATTTGGGTCAAGTGTAATTTTTTTAAGTTTGGTGAGGTTATTTTAGTCATTTTGGTGTGATGTGACACCATAAATAAATATTAAATTAAAAAAAGTAACTTTTTACCAACTTTCTAAATCACTCCAAAAAAGCTTGGTTAAAAGTAAAAAAGTTACTTTTTACTATCTTTCCAAAACAACCCTATATTTTATTGGACTAAAAAAATTATTTCGCCTTTTTTTTGACTAAAATAGTTAGGATTAAAAATTTTGTTGATTTTTTTTTTGGGCAAATTACATATCCCTCTCTCGAGGTTTAGCTAAATTACAGATATCTCTGAGGTTTCGAAAATTACATCCCATCCCCTGAAGGTTATATTTTCATAACAAATTATCCCCTAAAGTTTATATTTTCATAACAAATTGCCCCCTTAATTTGTTATGTAAATATACATTTAC